GTTAGAAGAGGTGAAACCAGCAAAGTGCTTAGCACTGTGTCTATTGTCATTGTTGTTAGGTGTTTGTAGACCCAGCCTTGAGCCCAATTCAGACAGGCCAGGGAAAGCCCATGTCTAGAGAGAGAGGTCGGAGCAGAGCTTTGTCCACCTGAGGCTGAGCTCAAGCACTTGGAACCCCTTTTCCAAACCCCTGCTACAAAATGATTGCCCTCAATCAAGGATGGAGCCTCCTTCATGGGTTCTGTAGAACCTCCTTGCAAAATGAGCTTTTAGGAGTGCAGGGACACCAAGCCCTGGGCATTGCCAAAAGAAGTCCCTCTTGCATAAAATGGTCTAGAACAGCTTCACAGCCAGGTAGCGGGAGGGTTGGGGCCTGGTTTATGTTTCCATGAGGTTGAGATTAGAGTTCCACATTTTGTGGGGATCTGAGACACTAATTGACAGTCAGCCTTGCTGACTGGTCAGTATTCTGGAGAAGACCCAAAAGTTATCACTCAAATAGTGGGAGACAAATTCCTAAGTCCCAGTGGGGTGCAAGGGAACATGAAGGGGCACATTTTCAGCATGACCTGGGACACACATTCCTTCATGCTTGGCAAAGCCTGAGCACAGATGCCATTGCCAGTTTAATTAGAGAGTCAGCAGGTGGGGGCGGGGGCCACCGTGTGACTGCATGCACTGACTCCCACGAGCTGTAATTACAGGCGGGGTCTGCCTTAGACAGTAGATTTGTTGCAGGCAGGAATGACACAAAGGGCTGTCATGCGCTGGCCAGTGTTCAGTGTGTACTTTTAAAGGACGGCCACAAACACATCCTAATGAAAAGTCAGATCCCCTTGGAAACACTGAGAGGCTGCACAGGGCTTCAGCATCAACCTGAATGTCTCAGGGCCCCGTGGACTGAATGTGAGATTTGGTATTTGAGAGACCTGGGTTCAATCTAGCTCTGTTCTGTAGCCTCAGATGATTTGCCTCCAATTAACAAATGTGTTCAGTGTATATACTGTGCTTTCATTTCGGGTCAGTAAAATGGGATTGATATTAGAATAAAACGAATTCATGATTATAAAGAGGCTGACACATGGGAGACAGTAAATATGACTTCTCTCTCCCCTCCAGTTAGTAAATGATTAAAAAGAAACTCAGCAAGGCAGGTTAGAATGCCCTTATGTTCACACCTGGTGATGTCTGAGAGACACGATGGGAACACATGGCTGCAGGTCCTTGCTCTTCAACATACCATCCCTTCAACAGCCATCCATGGAGTGCCTGCGTGTGCCAGGAACAACTCCTGGTATTTGGGACACATCAGTGAACAAGCAGGCTCTTCTCTGCCTGCATGGGGCTCCTAGTTCTGTGGGACATGCTGACAATATACAGCATCTATCTGATATGGACTGTCCAGGGGTGATGAGGAGCAAAATTAGTGCACAGAGCAGGGAACTGGAAAGGGGATGGGGGTGCTGGCCAGTGAGGGTCCCAATTGTGCCCTGGGGAGCTGGGTTAGGCATCGTGGAGGATGGTTGAGTCCAGACTGGAGAGGGTGGGGATCAGACACGTGGACACCTGGGTGAGGGGGAGCAGCGAGGCCTTCGGGGTCAGTGGAGTGATGAGGGCAGAGGAGCAGGGGTGAAGCCAGAGAGAACAGAGGGCTGGGTGACTGGGATAGCCCCACCCTGTCTTTTACTTCACACAAGGCCCAGAAGAAGGGCTATCCCATTGTGGTTTTCAAATGGGACCTGTCAGAGAGCACGGAGCACAGAGCAGGCCAGGCTGGGTGTCCTTGCATTGGCCCAGGCACTGCAGGTCTCGGTAAGGAGCCAACTGGCCCCTTGGCAGTGCTTACCCAGCTCTGTCTCCTGCTGCAAAGCCCAAGGCCAGTGCATTCTGCAGGCCACACTGCCCTCTTCACAGGGAATGGCCCTTCCTCCTCTTGGACTGAGGGCCCTCCTTCTCTCTGAGGCTGTCTTTGCTGCCCACATCTCTGGAGCCCCTCGCTGGGCAAATCTCCCCCTAGCTCTCCATGAGTCCCACACCCACCTAGAGCTAAGGTGCCTGCCTGGAGGTCCCCAACAGGAGAGTCTCCTCCATCTGTTTCGTCCAGATGCTCCCAGCCTGGTGTGCATGCTGAGAGCATGCCTACGTGGTGGTCTCCAGCTGTCTTACAGCCTCTTTACCCTATGGCCATCTGGCTACCCCAACCTCCATCAAGGTCACTGATGGCCTTGCAGAGGCCCACCAGCAGACACCCCATCCCCCCACCTCTCCATCTCCTCCTCCCAGTTGGTTCTGCCTCAGGCTCATTTCTGGAGTCCCCTTCTGCTATCTCTGCCTACTCTTGAAAGCCAAGGCTCCCAGCTGCCACCCTGTCCCCTTTTCCTCCCCTTCTGTCCACAAATGCTTGTGGAATGGGGCCATTTCCTCTTCTTGCTTCAAGTATGACCTGTTAAGCTAATGATTCCCGTCTCTCTCCAGTTTGACCCTCACACCTTCATATTCAAATGACTCACATCACCTGGAAGTCTCTCAGGCCCCTCAAACTCAACATAGGCACAGTTTAACTTTGTCATTCACATGTGTTCTTCCTCCCCTCTAGAACCTTCCCCTCCTATTTTCCTATCCTTAGTGACTAAGACCAGCTGTCAATTACCTGATGAAAACACAGGTATTTCCTGGCTGCTCCTGTGATTGTTCCTCTCTTCCCCTACATTTTGCTGTAGCCTGTTCCTACAATCTTCCTCCTGAGTGAGACCTGCCCCCACCTCCAGTCCACCCTACTGCTGTCCTAGTTCGTGGCACATCTCCTCTACCCACACTGGGGCAGAAGCAGAGATGCTGCTCCTAGCAGGAGCTTGGGGGAGGAATGCACTGTACACAGAGGCTTGTAGTCAGTTTTTGCTTATTGATTGTCCTCCAACTTTTGAAAGATGGTTGTAACATCACAGGTTTGGGAAGAAGGAGACACAGAGCGCGTGCTTCTTGCAAGACTATTTGAATGGATGAGTGAGTGAATAACGGAATGCCCCAGGATTCTCTAGAGCTCTGAGGTAGATGGAGACACAATACTCCTTTGCTCATTTGAGGAACATCAATTAAAGACCAACCTTGTGTTGGCCAGAAGCTGAGGATTCCAAAGGAACATGACACAGTTCCTGTCACGGAGCAGAGCTTGGTGTAGCCAGTGGGGTCAGCTGGTGAATGAGCAAAGTGCTCTGTGAATCCTGGGTGGTCGTTTGCATCCAGTGGAAGGCATTGCACAATGGAGAGAGGGTGGGTTTGGGAAGCAATGTGACCACATTCTCACTTCCTCTCTTCCCCCAGCCCATTCCAATCAGCCTTCCCCACACCTCACTCCGCTGAAATGGCCATCATCAAGGTCTCCCATGACCTGCAAAAGCCCACTCTCTGCCCTCATCTCACTTGACTCTCGGTGACATTTGACCTTTCCTTCCTTTTGGAAATACTTTCTTTTCTTGGCTTTTGTGACATCACATTTTCCTGGTTTTCTTCCAAATCTGTATCTATTGTTCTGACCTCTCTACTGAACTCCCAACTCATGTGGTCAACTGCTGTCGCAAGATATATCCCAAATCTGATCATTTCTAACTGTGACTGTGTCTGCAACCCTAATTTACTAGCTCAACCCCTGGATTTCCACAGCAGAGCCCAATCTGATCTCTATTTCCTGTGTCACATCTCCTAAGTTAATTTTCCATATACCTGCCAGAAATGTTCCTTTTTAAAATGAATCAACAAAATCACCTTCTATTATTAGCTTGAAACATTTCAGTACCTGTCCACTGCAGGAAGAATAAAGTCACTTTTCTGATAGCCTGCAATATCTCATAACTGGTCTTCGGCATACCTCTGACTTCCTCTCCTCCAGGTCTCCCAACAAGCCACAGGGTCTCCTAGAACTGACCTCCCTGTGACCCCCAAACAGCTAGGGCCATTCCTGCCCCAGAGTCTTTGCGCCAGCTCTGTACCTCAATCCAAAGAGCTGGCTCCTCATTGCTCGGGCATCAGTCCAGAAGTCACCTCCTCTGAAAAGCCATCCCTGACTGCCCCTAAAGTATTTTCCCCATTCTGTCACCTCCTCTACAATGACCCCACTTCAGTGTTCTTCAGGGCATATCTAAGATCTGATATTCTTTATTCACTTACATCGTCTGTGTCCTTTCATGAGAACATGAACTCTCCAAGTCAGGGGCTTTATCTGTTTGGGTTACAACTTTTCCCTCTAAAGCCTAGAAGAGAGTCCAGCACACAGGAGCCTCTGAATAGTCTGTGTTGGAGAGATGTTGCATGGGTTAATGCTTGAGTGACTCCTGGCTTCACCACCCACTGCGGAGTTAAGGGACAAGGCCTGACTTCTCCATCAAGCACAGCTGGCTCAGGACTGAGGGCTCACTGCACTTTTAGGAACTCATGAAAGTATTTTCCTTTTAATTTATTTTAAAATCAGAAGAAAAAAAATATCTCACTGATAGGTGGGTGTTAAACAATGAGAATATGTGGACACAGGGAGGGGAGCATCACACACTGGGGTCAGTTGGGGCGGGCAAGGGAGGGACAGCAGGGGGTGGGGAAAGAACGTGGGGAGAAATGTCAAATACAGAGGATAGGGGAATGGAGGCAGCAAAGCACCTTGCCATGTATGTACCTATGCAACAGCCCTGCATGATCTGCACATGTACCCCAGAACCTAAAGTACAATTTAAAAAAAAGTCAGTTAATAAAAAGAGTCAATTAATACAGAAAAGAAAAAGAAAATGTAATAATGAATCTAGCCTGGTTTACATTCATCTTTATACCAATGCAGTCACGAAATACAATTTTTAATATTTTGAGGAGGACAAGTCAATCCTTCTGATCCTCAGCTTTCTCTGAACGGTGATCCCAGCTCACAAACCACTGGGGAGAATTAGACAAAGTGACGTGCAAGTGTCAGTTGTGAGCCGTAATGTGGGGTTACAGCTCCAGGGTGGAGGGCTTACAGTGTGTGAGGGCAGGCAAGAGCCATGAGACCTCCAGGTCTCTCTGGGTGTTGGGAGACACCTCTTTTGCTTCTTCTAACACTGCAGGAGACAGAAGTGGGGTGGGGGGTGTCTCAGTGTGTCCATTCAAAGGCTAAAGAAACTGCAGCTCAGACTAGTTCAGCAACTCTCCTAAATGGTGTGGTTAAAACTAAGAATTGTGACCCATTTTCCTGTATCCAGGTCCTCGTGATGCCCTGGGTTCAGACCGTAACACCCACCCATCCCTGAGTGCTGGGGATTTAAGGCAGCAGTGCCTCCTTTCAGGAAATTGCACACACGCTGGAAACTCCTGCATGCTTCCCTTACTATAATCTGTCACCAAAGGCTGGATATTCCTGTGCCGGGGCTCGTGCCAGCACCTCGGCTGCCAGGTGCTGCTCTCCAACTCTCACATGAGCTGCCCTCCCCCAACTCCTCTCCACAGGGCCCCCACTCCACCTGCTCCCAGACGAGGACAACTTGTGGCCAAGCTCAGGGGCACAGCGGAGGAGCTCTGTTTCTGATTTTTCTCGCCTTTCTTGGAGATGCCTGTGCTTGGAAGGGAAGGCAGAACATTGTATCTTGGAACAAATCTGCTTTTGATCATGCAAATGAATGCCTGGTTAATGTAGGCAGACTGTCAATTTCACCAGTTAGAAAGAGAAAGGAAAGGGGGGGAAATTCCCCATGACAGCTACTGATGAAGAATTTCAATAGAAAGCTGCTACTTCGGAAAATAAGATCATTTGCCGCGAATGGAGAACCTCTCAGGCAGCCCTGATGCCCCACCGGTAGGTTGCTAACTTTGCTGGGTGTCATTAGGACTCCTTGGGTGGGCCATAGGTGGTCTGGAGTGGTATGTGTGGAGGGCGCTCAGAGGGACTTAATGGAGCCCCTACCCACCCTCTGTCTTTGGCCGGAGGGAAATGGGTGGGTCTCTGCTGAGGTGGTGGGTGGCTCCAGGGGGCAGGACTTGGGGCAAGAGGCTCCACTCCTGTCCCTCCATGACTTCCCTGGGAAGCTGCATTGCATGTTTGTGGACTGGGATCTGGCTGATACTTATGCAGCGCTGGCATGAGAAGAGAGCATGCATTTGTGTTTACTACCATTTGGAAAATCTGTCTCAGGTCAGCTGAGGTGGTTCAGAGGTTGGACATTCTCTGTGTTCCTGCTTTCTGTGGATAACTATCTGAAGAAGGGGCAACAGCTTTGGATAGTAATCTTAATATTAAAATTTAAAAATTAAATGAAAAAATGAACATTTATTGAAGCCAAACTATTTTCCAGATATTGGTGTATATTTGAATTCTTGAACATCTTTATGAGAATATTAACTAATTATCTCCCAATATCACAGATAGGGAAACTGAGGCTCAGGCTCTGGGTAACTTGGATGCTTGTAATTGCAACCCAAGGACCCAAGACACTCTCCCTGCTCTGTTGACAGATGACCCAGGGAGCAGGGTCCTGGTCAGTTCCTGGCTATTGTGTCACTCCAGCTGACAGTGCTGCTATGGGGCCCAACGGCACCTGATCCCCACCTCCTGAGGTCTTGGAATAGATATCCATCTCTTCTTATTGTATGTATCAATGGTGTTTCCATTGTTTGCCTTATTTATTTTCATATGACTGCAAGCCCTTTTTAGGGGAGGAATTCAATTTGTATTTTATGCTGAAACATCTGGTCTAGCATCTGGCAGCTACCAAGTGGCCTTGTAAATATTGCATGACTAAACAAACAGGTGTTGGTATTACAGAAACATGCTGGACACCCTGTTTAGGTGGATGTGGCAATTTACTGCAACTGATATATCCTGTTTCTCAGCCCTAGATGGGGGAGGAGGAGCTGGGTGGGTATCAAAGGACAGAGGATGGAGTAAAAGGCATGGTTGGAATTGAGGCCCTCTGGAACCTGCCATCTTCAGGTCCTTCTTGGCTGATGGTGGTTGGACCCAGGAGCCATGGAGCCTTCTGTGTGGGGGACAGAAATGCACAAACCCAACTCTAAATTCAGGTTGGGAGAAGGGTAAGGCAAGGGAGGGCTACCAAAGGGCACATTGGGATGAAGTCCAGAAGGAGCTTCCTCACTGTTGGGACGGGGGGAGCATAGCTCGTAGCTCAGTTTCCACTTAGGCGTCCACTGTACCTTCTTGCAGTTCTGTGTGGGGCAGAATCCTGAGGATCTCTCTGAGCAATACTTGCATATGGTAGGGGTAAGGTGGTGCTAGCACATCCCTGTTCTTGTGTTTAGCACAGATGGGGTCATGAGTAGAGACCCCCTGCTCCATTGGGGGTCAGAGACCTGCAGGGGAGACTTGGCTTTGCAAAGGACTAGTTAGCTGACCTAGAAACTGGTAAACCTCACTAAGCCTTTCTTCCTCAAAAAAAAGAAAAAGGTGTTAAATACTGGTTCATGGTTCCCTACCTCACAGCCGTATGATTGAGATAAAGTAAAGTAAGAGCCTGAGTTACTTCACTTAGGATAACTCCTAAGGTTATTAAAATTTTAAACTTATAAATACATCAATAAATGACAACAGAAAAAAAAATGTGGGTAAAATTGCAAAGCCTTTTGCACATAGTAGCCCTTATTCTATCTGAGTTTGCAAACATTGCAGTACCCAGCATACTGTTGATGGTAGATGGAAGGCTCTTGGAGGAAGGCCTGGCTTTTCCCAGAGTGCCATCATGGGAAAAGGATGACTTTAGGGGCAGATAGAACCTGGGTTTGAATTCTGGTTTTTCTCTGAAAAACAGTAATAATAATCCCCACCTTGTAGTTGTGAGGGTAAATTATTTCATTGAAGACTTTTGGATTAGGGCCCAGCATATAGTCATGGTCAGTTTTTCATATTTTCATTCACTCATTCCAGTGAATGTTTACTGTGTGCCTGTTGTGTGCGATGTGTCTAGCAGAACTGAACACATTTCTAGGCACCAGAGATGCAGCAGTTTCAAACATTCTAGTTGGGAAAGAAAGATAATAGACAAATACATAATATGTCAAGAGGTATGAGTGCTGCAGTGGGGTGTGGGATGTGGGGATAGAGAAGGCTAGGGATATGGCTTCCCTCTCAATCCAAGTGGTCAAGTGAGGTCCCTCTGATGAGCAAACCCTGAAGGAAGTAAGGCAGTGAGTTACCTAGGGGAAGAACATTCCAGAAGAGGAAACAACAAATACCAGGATGCCGATGTGGGATATGCTCAGCCTATTTGAGAAACTCTAAAGGGGCAAACCACAGTGAGGCAGGGGGGAACAGCAGGAGGTGAGGTCAGAGAGCTAACGGGGGTAACATCAAACGGGCTATGGCAGTTAATGGAAGATTGGATTTTCCTTTGCATGAGAGAAGGCCACTGGAGAGAAGGCTCGGAGTAGAGGAGTAACATGGTCTGACTTATAAAGGGATTGCTCTGGCTTCTATGCTTCTCAGAGATTACAAGAGGCAAGACAGGTGCAGAGAGAGAGAGTTGGGGGCTACCATAAAAATCCCAAAGAAAATGGCTGGATCAGGTGGATTCACTGATAGAATACTGGTAGGATATGAGATAGCAGTGTTGGGAATGACTTGTGGTTTTGAGCCTGAGTACAGAAGGATGAGTTGTTTAGTTGCTGAGTTGTTTACTAAGAAGGCGAAGACTATAGAAGAACATGCTGATTGGGGTGGGAACAGAGGTGGAATCGGCAGTCCACTTTGGCTGTATTATTGATGAGACACTATGAGACATATAAGTCAAGATGTCAAGTGGACATTGGCTAAACCAGTTCAGAGTTGAAGGGAAAAGTCCAGGAGGAATAAATTTGGGCACAGACACATGTTTAGTAGATGTCCACGTGCAGTGGCACTGAGCTATGAGCTGGCTTCTAATCCCCCATCAACACTCTCCTACTGCAGGTAGTCCTCCTCACCAGTCAGCACCTAGATGAGTTCTCAGCAGGATGCAGGCTCACAAAAGCTGCTCAGTGGCTGCACAAGGGAATGAATGAAGAAGTAAAGCCAGAAAGGACGGTCTAACCAATGAATAAATGTGTTTGGGAAACACTTCCCTGTGCTTGGTGTCTGGGACGACTGCCATGGAGTGGGTCTAGGAGTTGCTCTGCTGTGCCCTCAGAGGGGTTTCTCTATCTGGGGACGCCTGACTTCACTGCTGGCCTCCCCAGCCAGGCCCCTGTTTGGCAGTGAGTCTCCTGCTAGTGGACCCATCTTTCTTTGCAAGTGAAAAAAGTAAGCTTTCTTTAAAACCCTTAGAGAAAAACTCAATGAGAAGAATGCAAATACATCCTTGAGTAGAGATCCCAGTCCTCTGGATTCAGGTCCCTGGCTGGACTGATTAAGGAATTCAGGACAAAGTTAGGACACTTCCAGATATTCCTGGGACCATGCTTAAACCAGGAAAGCCCAAGGCAGCCACAAGTACAGTCATTCCTATCACAATGAACAAGCATAATCAGAAAACATGAGCCTGGGCTACCCTCTGGACACCATGGTCCCAGATCTGCCAATAACAACCACCGCCCTCACCATCCCTGATGGACTGGATTTCTACTGCCTTGGGAGAGGTCTGGGAACTAATCACAGGGCCTCCCTCCTTCCTAGCCCCATCAGCCCTTTCTAGGCCAATGCCAAGGCTCCTGGAAATATAAAAGTAATTCTTCCTCTTTCAAAAGTCAAAGATGGCTATGGTAAGTTTTCAGTGCATGGTCCAAGGAACCAGAGCTGTAAGGACACCACGTCTTCTGCACAGAGACTGTGCCTCCCCCGTAGGACAGTGTACATTAGGGAGGTGAGTGAGAAAGAGTCCCTGGTCAATGGCCAGCTCCATCCCAGTCTGCCCATGCCTCAGATAACTGTCTCCAGGGCAGAGAGTGTTTAGGGGCAGCCAGGGAATACTAAGATTAGAACTTCCATTGCTTTCTCATGCTTTAACATTCTTTTGTTTCAATAAAGGGTTTATAATAATTCGGAGTATTAGTACAGGAGTACACATGTATCTAATTTATACTAAAATAACTAAACTTACTATCTCCTAACTGATGAGGGGCTTGATCAGAAGCAACTTGAAGACCCCTGTTTTAGAGACTACAAACTGTGAGACAGTGGAGGAGAGTGGCCCCTTTCAGTCCTTCCTGAATGGTTGTCTTGTCCAATAATAAAGTCGCAGCCCCTCAGGGTGAGGTCTGTGCTGTATACGGGTGCTTGGCAGAAAAATGTTGAAATGAACTAGGTACAAATGGTATTTTGCCTTGGCTGTGAGTTAGCTGGATGAAAGCTGAGGGTGACTAAGCTCTGCTTGCCACCATCCCCTTGCAACACACACACCCTCACACACTCACACACACACCCTCAGAGAGGACTCTGTCACTGCTCACATGCCATACCCACCTTCCAGATGGGAACCTTTAGAAATCAACTCCATATTCTAGCCTCACCAGCCCTGCTTCTTTCTCTCTCTTTCTCTCTATATACATGTATACATAAATGTATATAATATGTAACATATTATGCATGTCTATATATATATAGCAATAGTAATAATTCATTATATTCTTTCTCACATCTCTACCCCTCCAGAGGTAGCCAATGTTAATTGCCTGTTGTGAATCTTTTCACTCCGCTATCCTTCTATGCAGAAAATATACAAATATACATATTTATAAATATAAAGATATGTACAGGTTGGTTTTTAAAAATATGAATGCCATCTTAATTTCATATTCCTCTGCATCTTTTTTGTCATGTGTCACAGGCATCCCTTGAGCCAGCAGAGATAAATCTAGCTCATTCTTTTTAACATCTGCATAATATTTAATTGTCTGTATCTTAATTTAGTCAACCATTTCCCTGTTAATGGACATTTGAGATGCTTCCAACTTTTTGCCACAATAATCAATGCTGCGATAAATACTCTTGTATATATATCATGTAAGACTGGAGCTTTTATTACTGTAGGATAGAGTCCCCAAGGTGAAATATATTATCCAAAGGAAATAGTATTATCCAAAGGAACTCAGGATCCTGTTGGTTGCTTTCATGATTTAATAAAATCTCGGTTACACTGACTTATATTCAACAGAGCCAAGAGACCTGTGTCATGCATGTAAGGGGAGGGTGCTCTCTACCCATGCCTAGAGTGGTCCTCTCTCTGTGCCTCATGCACACGGGGCTTCCCCTCCTCAGGTCTGACCACCTACAAGGCTTTGGTCATGAATAGCATGTCCAAGGCAGGGTGGGGTAGGCAGAGGAACATGTGCTCAGCCTCTTCCAGGGTTAGCCACATCCTAGTGAGTGGCTGTGACTGCTGGCGAGAGCAGGAGCTGTACATTCAAGCAGACTGCAGACCTCACAGCTCACTCCCACTTCTCTGTGCCTCCAGCAAGCCGCACAAAGCTGCGTGTTTGCATGCTATCTTTACTAAAAAATGTAACTTGGAAGCCTGGTGCTTTGGTGTCTTTTTCAGGATTGGGAAAGGGTGATGATTTAATAAGGGTCCCTTCACCCCCTGCCTCCTAACCTCTCAGTTCTCAGTATGACAAGCATCCTTCGTGAAACAGGGGTGGCATGGCCCAGACTTGAGTCTTCTAACTTGGAGCCCTGAGCTGCAGAGCTTCTGAGTCAGCTCCAGTTTTCCACAGTGATTTGTTCACAGCTGTCATTTGTGGATGTGCCTGTGTTGCTCACTACCCTGCAAGTGTCTGATTTCTGAATACCCCCATTACCACCTCCTAAACTCACATAGGTATTGCACACAGTAGTTATTCAGCAATTGGTCGACATCTTTTGATCAAGTCAGACACTGAGGTCCAGAACCCTTAGGAAGCACCAGGCTGGAGATGCCTGACGCCCCTCCCCTGCCTACCTTCACAGCCTTTGCTCTGTTGATGAGCCCGTCATCCTGAGAGCTCCCGATGAGCAGATCGACCTCTACCTGTAAAGTCCTCTTCAGAGCTCTGGCTGGAGCTTCCCGGAGGAACTGGCCATCGACCACAGGACTCCAGTAGTGGAAAGGGCCACTCACGGCCAGGAGCTGCATTGGATGCAACAATAATCAATTGTCCTGGAATAATCAGTTGCATTGCTTTGCATAATGAGGTCTTAACCATACTGAATGCTAATGCTGGTTATCCATCAGGGACTCTACTGGGAAAAAATGACCAGGACAACTGGCAGACAGGACACCATGTGACAAAGTCAGGGGCTGGAGGGTGAATGAATCTCACTCTCAGCAATGATGGTCTCCAGGGGAGCATCCCAGAGGTCACAGCAGATCCCCAGAGAGGGATGGGTAAGCCTGACCCTGTAGGTGGGTGAGGAAGGCAGGAGGGGACAGTGGTTGAAGAGGAGGTAGTGACTCTAACAGGTGACATTAACCAGCTTCAGTTGTGATCAAATTAGCCTGCATTTAGGGGAGCTGAGGATAAGACCTGCTCCAATTCTGTGAATCCAGACTCACTGCTAAGATGATCAGGCCATCAGTTACAGTAACAACAATTATTCCTGCTACTGTTCCCTCCATTAATGTGAGCACCAGCCAGAGGCTTGGTTGGCAAGCAAGAACTTTGCAGGCTAGAAAGGGAAGACATAGCTGTCCCATCTCCGGGAGTGAAGTGGCTCAAACCCACTGCCATCTATGAAGCCATGTCTGCAATGCTCAATACATGTAGCTGTGACCTGCTAAGGGTTTGGTCCCCTGCCTGCCATTGTCCTGGCATGGGCCCAAACCCTTCATATGTGTTACTTCATTTTCTCCTCCTACTCTATGAGATATGTATGACTATTCCCATGTTATAAATAAGGAAAACAAATTGCAGATATCTGTCTACCCTCAGTCTCCATGTTTGAGCTGCTGCAGATTGTAGCATGTGCCCAGCTCTGGGGGCTGGGGAATGTGAGTTCCAGCTCCCACTGATGGTCAGCCTCACATGTGATATGGCGGGGGTGGGTCACACCCCCTTTCTAGGTCTTCGTTTTCTATTTGTAAAAGACCAGAGAATGTCCCTTCCCAACTTGCACTTAAGTGCCCACCTTGGTCTGGGCGTCATTGAGGACACTGGCAGGCTTCTGGCGGAGGCAGGACACCACTTCTTGGCTGGATGACATGGGGCAGCTGACCTCCTTTGCCAAAGCAACTGCCTGCTGCTGGGCCCTCTCGTGGCTGATGATGGCGGCTGGGGAGAGTGCGGAGCCTCCCTGGAAGAGAAAGCAGGCTCAGGGCTGATGGTCCAGAGCATCTCTTGCTCCTGCTTACTTGGAGACCTCAGTGCCACATTAGGGCTGTGCAGCTTTCCTCCCTGCTTGGGGGTCCCAGGACCTATTCTGGGTATACACACAGTGCAGAGGTCATGACTGGTCAACAGCATATCAGCATGCAGTGTAGTATTGAACAGGTGTCTCCCTAGGCCTCAGTTTCCTAACCTGTGAAGTGAGGGGGTACTGCACAAGGGAACCTTCGGTCTTGGCTGTGCAGATGAATTTGTATATACAGGCAACAGGCTGATGGTTCTTTAACAGGATCAGAGATTGGCAAAGTCCTCTGGGAAGAGAACTCTGCAAAGGTAGAACCGTCTCCCACCATCACCCCCACAGGGGCTCCATAAATAGCAAGTTTTCTTGGCTCCATTAAGATCGAGTTGGACTTTAGAATAGAAGCCCGCCTAGGAGGTAATGAAAACACAGTCTTTGTAAGGGTAAAGTGCTTCATCAAACTCAGCTTACTCTCTGTTAAAATAACAGGCTTCTTCTTTCTAATGATGTAAGGGGTAGGAGCTGGGTTCCAGGAAGTTCATCTTTGCCTAGATTATTGGTAGAACTGGGTCATCTGCCCTGGGAGGAACAAGTGAACTGAGTGGGGTCTTGACCAGTGTGCAATTCCAGGGCACCTCCTCTATGGGTCTCCCCATAGCTCAGACACTGGCTGCACACTGAAAGCTCATGGATAACCAGGGAGGCAGTGGTGGTGACACCAGTGCCACTGCTCTTCCCCATGCTACTGCCACTCACGGTAATAACAGCAACCACTGTGAATCGAGGACTTGGACAAACTCACTCAAGAGGTTCCGTATTTTAACTCATTGGGTCCTCACAGCAACTGTGTAAGTCAGTTGCTCTTAGTATCCCATTTAACAATGATGTAGGAGACAGATCTGGGCTCTGACCCCAGTGGCCAAACACTTAGCCACTGTGAAGTGGACCTTTCACCACCTGGTAGGTGGTGACACTGTTGTTACAATAATCTCTGTTAACTGTCAAGTTCAAGAAGAGACCTGCGCCTGGGGTCAGAGGCAAAGCTGGACAGTCAGAATCTCAGCCAGAGGCAAGGAAAAACACAAGTGCATGGAATTGGGGGATCCCAGACATGGCCGCTGTGAGACTGACGTCAGAGAAGCTTTTGTAATCGCTCTGGGCTTCTCAGAACAGGCTTGGCAACTTGGTCCACAGACTGCAGACAGGGCTGGGATATAGACCTGGTTTTCTGTCCTTGATCACTTACACAAACTCTGAGCCTCCTGGTTCTGCTTTAAAAGAAAGTAAGGCTCCTGTGCTACATGATCTCTAGCCAGTGGCTCACACTGAACTTCAGAATCTTTAAAAGAGAGAGAATCCTAACTCCCAGGATCCTCTGAGAAGCAGCAACAATCAAATTAACCTACTCAGCCAGGCCAAGGCTTGGAATTCAATGACCCAAGGAACAAGGGTCAATATGATTTGGCCTACTGTTGAGTTCCTGGGCTCTCGGGTTTATTTTTCTAACAATGAACAGGGCAGCTTTTCTGAGAACCACTGGATGTACTTTAAATTAAAACACACACACACACACACACACACACACACACACACACAGAAAACATACACATACTCAAACTATTCAAGCTCAAAACTCCAGGATCTGAATGAAACTGCAGAAGGTCCTGCAGGCAGGGAGGAGGCGTGAGTGTCAGGATGGGCCCCCTCTGACAGTTTCAGTACTTTTTCAGCTATAAAAAGCCAGGGATCCTGATCTGGTGAGGAAGTGGTTAATGGCGTGGGTCACACTGATATTGCAAGATGGCTTAGAGAACTTTTCTTTCTTTTAAAGTATTTTGTTTAAATTGATCTTTCTGAAGGAAACATTTTTTTCACCATGGAAAATTGGTGTTTAAGCAAGCCAACGGTCGACTCCGCCTTCACTTTAAAGCACCCGACTAGAGACAAAGCACTTGGGGACAGAACGGGAGTTGCTGGGCAGAGATGTGCAGACAGCATGGGTTCTGGGGCAGAAGGGCTCGGTCTGAACCCTAGCTGCGTTACCCCCTGATGAAGTGGGCTTGGGCAAGTGACCACCTGTGATGAGAACAATACACCAGACTTCACAGTGTCACCGCAAAGATGCTCGAGGCCCGGTAGCTGAAGAAGCGTGTCCTCTGCACAGTGGGAGCGACGGCTACACTGTGGTTAGTGCAGGGACATTCATGGGACCCCACAGGGTGTAAAGGAATCAGGTCTTCTCAGTCCACCCAGTCATACCTACACGTCCACAGCTCTGGGTTCTGGCTTTATCTAAATGTGACCTATCTATTCAATGGCAATGAGTTTCCGCTGGTGTGTGTTTGTTGTTGTTGTTGTTTTTTTTTTTAACTTTAAAAATAGTTCAGGTCAAAACCACAATTGCTGACCACTGCTTTCCTTTTTGGGGCCTCAGAACATGGTGAGTTGCCTCGACCTCAGTCTCTATGGTCACTCTGGAGTCAAGACCTTCCCCTGGCCATGCACACATGTCCACACACACAGCCACAGATGAAAACACACACTGCAGTCAAGGAGTGTATTGCTACTGCTTCTCAGAGGATCCTGGGAGTTAGGATTCTCTCTCTCTTTTAAAAATTCTGGAGATCAGAGTGAGCCACTGGCTGGAGATCACATAACACAGAAGCCTTGCTTCGTTTTAAAGCAGCACCAGGAGACTCGGAGTTTGTCAAAGTTGGTTAAGGACACACATACACACGCGTGTGCACACACACACATGCACACACACACACCAACAGAGACATATGCTTACACACACATATGCTTAGATGCACACATGCTTACACACAGAGCTACAGACAGAAAAACACACTTACATGCAGAAACAATGCCACAGATGTAAACACACAGTCATAGAGACATACTCACACAGAGATACACACTTACACACACAGACACGGTCACATAAAAAAACAGGCATACACTCATGGACACAGAGAGACCCACACTTAGTAAAACACAGTCACAGAAACATCCAGCTATAGAAAGAAATATACACCCACACACATACACACTTACATAAGCACAGAAAGACACACACAGACACACACAGTCACCAAGACACACACACACAGCTGCCCTTGTTGAAATGGACCCTTGGGCATTTACCAGGAGGAATCCCTCCTGTGGCCTCCCCAGAGCAGCTCCAGTAAGCAAAACAGCAAGGAGTGGGTGGGCAGCTCCCTGGACAAGCAGGAGGTCTGGCGGCCCTGCCCTGGGGCATCCGTGCCTCAGAGGGTCCTCTGGGTGGACTCCACCTCCCTCCTGGTACCCCTTGCACTTCTCAGCTCCTCCCTGGAACGTGGATCTTCATCTACAGTGGTGTCTGCCTCATGTAAAGCAGAAGAATGGGAAGCCCAGTAAAGAGGTACCCAGTGAGTTCGTCATCCATCAGGCACTGCGTGGAATCGAGGAGTTAATTCCTGCAAAGCCCTTGCAGCCCCACACAGATATAACAATGAAGAGGAGAATGAACATCAAGTAGCACTTTCTGTGTACCTGGCACTCAATGTGGGTTGTACATGTTCTGCGTGGGTTGTAGAAGAATGTGTATAGGTAGGGTTCTCAGAGCAGCCCTAGGAGCTGCGTAACAACAGTATCATCTCAGCTTTAGAGGGGGCTCCAGGGTAGAGTTGAAGCCACTCCCCCCAAGTCTCAGAGCTGGGAGTGGCAGAGCTAGGATTTGAACTCAGGCTGCGGGCGCCAGAGCTCCATGTTCTAACCAGTATGCCATCTCATGCTTGCGGTGGGCAGTTTCTTTCTTTCCCGTTGAAAGCATGAGGCCAGAGCAAAGTACAAAGCTCATGGCCCTTGTTCCAGACAGACTGGGGTTTTAATTCCAGCTCTGCCCGTGGCTATGTTGCCAATTTCCTTTGCCTGTCTGAGCTTCCAGTTCTTAATCTGTAAAATGGGGATATTATGATCAGTGTTCACAGAGCTGAAGTACAGATTAAAGGAGACAATGGAGGTAAAATACCTGATGTGTAATTTGCACTCAAAGTTGGCTGTATTCATCATCAGGAATGTTATTATCCATGGTTTAACGCCTGCAATGTAACTTGATGAAACTAGTTATTACAACCTAGGCTGATGGGGAGCAGGTCCCTTGCGCCATCTGACTCGGGGGCAGGTGCCTCTACACGCAGGGTAGCTGCAGAGCTGGTAAACTTACTTCCCTGTGATATCACACATGGGCCAAGGTGCTTTCTTGTAGACTCACGGTTTATTTCCTGCCACAATACTATGAAGTTAGATCAGGTAGGAAGGACTGTCTTTTCAGGAAGAAATTCTCTGCTGCACAGAACCTGAACCCAGGTGTTCCAACTCCAAACCCAGGGCTTCTCTCTGCATCTCCTGGGAGAAACCAGATGTATGACTTTTAGGCCCTGACCAGACCATTGGGCCTCTGGGAACTTAACAATATCTAGCTGGCTTATTTTCTCTATTTTATTCCAGGCAATGTGAGTCACAAAGAAGCCTAAGTCTCAAGCTCCAGTTAGGTGGATATTTTTTTAAAATGTGGCTGTATCCAGCAGGACACATGTACTGGCAAACCTCTGGGTGAGCTATTTGCAATAATCAGCAGTAGTGAGCCAAGAATTCTTGTGCTTTGGGGATTCAGGGGAGGGAGGGATTTCTGGGCACTAGGGTGGCCCAGAGGAAGCTGCAGAGATTCACTAGGACTTGTGTGGATTTCGATGGGAGGAAATAAATGGGAAAAACAGCATGAATGAGCCTTCTGAGAGGGAGTGGGCAGGGATGGCAGTAGGGCCAGAAGCTGATTACCCAGTTATAGATAGGAGCTGGGTCCAAAGTAACCCAGCAGCTCCAGGGCAGGGCCTGGGACTCAAAATGTATATTGCATGAGTGAGGGAATGACTGTATGAGTGAGGGAGTGAACAGATGAA